TATTATGAATAGAAACCACGCATTAATACTAAAATCAAAAAACAACAATAAATAAACAAACAAATAGCTTTTATTGCTATACTGTCCTTTTTAAAGTTTTCCTGCCAAGTCAGATAACGCAGAGCTATTTACGTCAAGAGTTTATCTCACAAAGGAAAATAAATGTATGTACCATGAAGTAAATATTCGAATTGCAACGATCAAATTTCTGTCCTTAAAAGAAAAAAATCCGAGTCGCATTAGGCCTTGGTATAACCGAGCGAGTAATTCTCACCAATAAGTAGTTGTTTGGTTGTCGTATATCTGAAGTTACGCTGTCACTAGGATTTAAATTGAAAGCATATCGTGGCCATAGCTTGTGAAAGTTGTCAGTCAGGTAAATACGGTGAACGGTTTGCCATGAACGTTCATTTTGCTTCTTGACAATGGTGACACAAATACTTATTTTATTTTTATTTTTTTTTAATTTATAGGCATTCCGGAGACGGTGGTATTGATCTAACTTGGCGGGGCGTTTGGCTGCAAAGTAAATATATTATTATAATTCATTAAATAAATAAAAAATTTTATTAATTTTTTTATTGCAAAGTTGGTCCTCAAGGTGTTTGTGTGCTAATTAGATACCCCAAAGATATATATACAACAATTGGTTTTAATTTTTTCTCAAGTCATTATATGATAAAATTTCTTAGATATAATAATAATAAAATTTCTACTGAAATATTTTATAACGTCTTCAAATAAAACTTTGTCATTACTATCAATATTAACATTTTTATCGTACCAAATAAATATACAAGTTGATCAATAGCTATACAGTCAAACTCACATATAAAAATCTGTTCTGGCAACATTATGATTGTAATTATAATCACAACGAATTTTGAATAAAATTTTCTGTTCATCCGCTGTGACAAGGTTTGACTGTGAACATGGTTTTTATTTTTTTAAGATGCGATCATTAAAAAAGTTACGCGGCGTAAAACAAATTTTTTTTCCATCTTTAACTTTATCAATCCATCCATCAATCAAATTACTGTTTACTACCAATGCTATTATCATATATTATCATTATTGTTATTATTTATTGTTGAATTTAGTCATTCAATTAAAAAATTTTCATTCCTCGATACTAAAAAGGATGCTAAACAACAAGTCAAGCTCGCCAAAGTTGTTAAAGTTGGTCATACCGATTCAAGAGGTAACTTGGATTATATGGACGATACAATCGTTCTATCATCCATAATGTCAAAAGACCTGTTCGTGAAAATGATGTTTTATGTCTTTTAGAATCCGAACGTGAAGCAAGACATCTTCGATAAAACATATCAGAAAAAGAGTTAACTGATTTTTTATTTTTTTTTTAGTTAAAATGAATGATTTTTTTTTTTTTTGCAAAATGATTTACATTGAAAAAAACATCTATATAATCAAATAGAAAGAAAAAATTAAAGATAAAAAATAAAAATTATTTTTTAAATACCAATTTTGAGTTTTATTATATTACAAAGAAATATATAAATATATATATAAATTTGAATATTATGATCACTCAGGAACATACTTTGCATGATCAAATAAAGCAGAACTTATTCCCATAATTAATACACCAATAAAAAAGAATATGGTTACAGTATGGCCATTTGAAGTGTCATTTTTTATTGCTTGTGGTAATAAACCCTAATATTATATATAAATATTAATAAATTTTCTCTCTTGAATAAAATAAAATATATTATCCTTTTTTTTGCTTACTAACCTGTACGCAAATAACACTCATTAACCCGCTAACAGCAGCAAACAAAGTACCATAAACAAAGTTATGATCCCAACATCTAAGCTGGGATTCTTTTAAAAATAAATATCCAATTAATGCACCTAAAGGTTGACTTAATCCACCCAACAAAGATGCATATAAAAAACTTTTAATCCGTGAGCGTGTTGCCATATATAGTGGCAAGGCTATGGTGAAACCCTCGGAAATGTTATGTAAAGCGATGGCAAAAAATAATGTAAAACCAATGGTTGGTGATACTTTTGATGTTATAAACGTTACAAGACCCTCTACATAATACATATAATACATGACATCAATTAAAAAACTTTAAATTATATTAGAAACTTTTATTCTTTTATAATAATAATATACTTACCTGGAAATTTATGTATGGATATAGCTAAGGCTGTTTGAATACCTATATGCATTAATTGAGATTTTTCTTTTTCATCTTTTGAATTTTCATTACGAGGAGGAAGGTGGTGATGATGATGATGATGATGATGTCGACGTTCATCTTTATCACCATCATCGTAATCATCATCGTCCTCATCATTGTCATCATCATCATGATCATGATTATGATTCCTATTTGCATTAACTGTGTCGTCTGTATCACTTTCGACGATACAAACACAATGTTTGTTGGAACAATTTGATTCGTCGCAACCATCACTATTTTTTAAATGTTTAATATCATTACAATCCTTTGCATTGGCATAATATGTAATATTTTTGTTTTTTAATAGTGGAGAACCTTCGTGTAATATTTCATCATCATTATCAATTTCTTCATTCTTATAAATAAGAGGGCTATTAATTTTTTTATTTTTTACAATAGTATGATCTTGCTGGTTGTGGTGGCGTTGTCGATGGTGGTGGTGAGTATGTTGAGTATGTTGATGTCCGTGAGAATGTATAAAGCTATCTTCATTTACAAAGATATGAATTATTTTATTGATTATTGCTGAACAGGTAACTCCAAGAAAATAGAATACTATCAAGAACAATCCTGAATATTCTCGGTAAACTTTTGCTTTTTTAAAACTTTTTTCAGATTCTTGAAATAACGTGTGTAAACTTGTAAATAACTTTTCCCCCAAAAAAATCAAAAAATAATAATTTAATAAAATCAAAAATATAAAATATTGGAATCAATAATAAATAAATAATTTACCATCACGCCAGATCCAAGTGATAAAGAAGCAACCAAAAAAAATTTATTATTAGTGATTTGTATATACCGTGCAGATAAAAACCTTTGAAATATTATGTCTGAAAAAACGACAGAAGCTAAAGAAAAGAAAAATAGAAAAATAAAATTTTTTCTTATCAACGTTTGATTATAAATTATTTTATTTTATTTATAAAAAGAATAAATTAATAATAAAAAAACAAACTAAATACTTAACCTACCACCAATACAACAGGCAACTCCAGACAATATTGTTAATAACCAACCTTGGAAATTACCATCGTCGTCTTCGGTAGGTTTATTCGTACAAGTAATAATATTATAGTCTAACATTGTATATTTTTTATTTTTTTTAAAGTTAATAAATATAAAATGTATTTGAATAAAAAAAAAGTTTTTTATAGAAGGAAAACTTGGAAGGTACTCTATTCAAAATTACTATTTACGTTACACGAACACACATTCGTATTAATAATAAAATACCAATTTCAGTCGAGCATCAATGGGGCTTTTTCAATTGGGAACTCATTTTGAATCAATCTTCCCTTCCTTGTATGTAATCCTTTAGGTATAATTTTCGCTTAGAAATATAATAAAAAGCTTGAGATATTAATATGGTCCGATCTCTCCTTAAGTAATATTTCTCCAGTTTTGATGCACGCAATTAGCACGTGTTACGGCACACGATTCTAAATTTGTACCAGTTACACGACGAAATTTCTCGATATATACCAATGAAAAATGAAATCGATAATCCCCAAAATTCGGATTTGTACAAAAGCGGTGTGAATATTAGTTATAGTTATACATGCAGGTCTTTTTTCAAACGCAATGTTGCTAAATGTCACTAACGTGATGTGAATGTTAACACCTTCATAATGTCCGCTGGCCTTATATCTATAGATGGGTGTCTAAACTAAATTATTTAGACAATGTCTAAAATATAACAATAAATTAATTTAGACATTTAGACAATCATGGTCTCAATTGTCTGCTGAAATTGAATTTTTTATTGGATAATTTACTGAACTTTGGATTTTGTGTATATACACGTGACTTTTAGTTGTATTTAAAGCAAATCATTACTATTTATATTAATTTAGACAGACATTTTTGTCTAAATACTAACAATTTAGACGCCCATCTATACTTATATCCCATATTCTCTAAATGATTGATTATCCCTATAATATATAAGTTGATATACATATTAAAAGTTATTTGAAGGTGAGAAATTACCCCCTTGTGTTTAACCTACGAAAATTGCCAAGAAAAATGGGAGATGAAGGTGAACGACTATATAATAAAAAGTGAAAATCCTTGAAAGAAATAAATATGAAAGCTGATAATAGTATGGTTGTGAAAGGTAACTAGGCAAATTATCTATTTTTCCTCTTTAATTTTTAGAAATATAATAAATAATAGTTATAATACTGAATACTAAAGTTATGACTGCTGATCATAATCAAATAGACTTACCATCATCAAATTTTTCTTCTTTCTTTGTATATGTTGTTTTGAGGCATGGTTCTTATATTCCACCGCCAAGTCTTCATTTTTTAAGTCACTGACACTGATTATTACACAACAAGCATTAGATCCTTGAATTTTCCTACTACAAAAAATAGTCTTTGAGGTATTATTGCTGTGTCATCATCAATAAAGATGTCAAAATCGGAATGATGATTTTCTTTTATCACATCTAAGCGGTAGTGTGTATTCCTATTCTTCTTTGGAGGAAGGATTACATTGGGGAAATTGGCCAAAAGTTTCGTTGCCCGTGGAAGGATGTTTTCTTTTAACGAAGCAAGTTAAGACTATTAACTAATTAAATCAATCCTTATGAAGAGCTGACAATAATTCCTTCCTTGGTGATGGAGAGAAAAGATACCTTGACAATTTCTTTAACTTCCAGTTTTCTTCTTTACTTATCATCGCCTCCTTCAAGACGTACAATATTAAACTTTTCTTCTTCACTTCAAGCATTGACATTAGAATAATCTCACCAATCTATGTTTATCTTTTGTTCCTATTCCTTAATTTTATATAATATTTGATTTTGGCTCTTTGTCAAAAAATCTTGGAAATAAAAATAATTTGGACTTTTGTTGAGGTGAAGGATTTATAGACTGATTGAGGCTTGATAGGTTTTAAACATTCATCTCGATCGCAGATAACTCTTTGCTTCCAGCCTTCTTTCTCTTGGGTTTTTTGCTTGATAAAGCAGTGAAGACAGTTGATGTTGTCATTTGACATATTTTTATTTTCTATTTTTAAGCTTGTAAAGGATTATTAAATAAATAATAAATAGTATATTTGTCCTTTATAAGAAAAATTTAAGGAACCCTCTTGATTTTTATAAACAAGGTCCCATTTTCGTGTCTTTTGGAAAAACAATAATCACCCCGAAAATTTTGCATCCTTCAAGACCTCAAAGGATCGGATAAAAAACAATTAGAATGATGAATTCATATGGTGGAGGTGGGATTGTGTATGTAGTAGTAGTTGTTGTAATTAGTCTTGGAATTGATAAACCATTCACTGATTCTTCATGCTCATTATGTTGTGTAGAATCGTTACTGTGCAGAATATAATGTGGTAAAAAGATAAGGATATGAATGAATGAATCTATAGGAGAAAAGTCGAGAATTATTTTTGATTCAACATTTTGCTAATACCAGTCAACATATTTACTAACCTTACGAAATTCTTGATTTTTTTCTTTTAATTTGACTTAGAATTCATAGAATTTAAAATGTACATACTAATAATACATACAGTCAAACCTTGTCACAACTGATGCACAAGACACATAATAATATAAAAAAAGTTTCGTTAATAAAACTGAAAATAAACTGAGCTTTAAAGAAATTATTTTTTTACCTGCATATTGTAAAAAATTGTCAAAGATGAATTAGATAACCATATAATTACCTCATTTACAGACTTCTGCTCGTTTGCGTTCCTTTGGGTAAAAATAAAAAAAAATTAGTTTATTATAAATAGAAAAGTTTTATGATAGTAATAGATAATAAACGGAAAAGATCGACATGCATCATAATAGCATTATTATTATTATTTGTAATTTATAAATTATCATATATTTGCTTTAGTGTGTTGTTTGAAATCTATTACTATGTGAATTTGCAATTCACGTACGTGAAATTCAAATTAGCCAATCAGAATTTCATATCCAAACACCCATCCCAAAATTTCAATTATAAATTTCGATTTCACAGTTTCAATTTCATACAACAGTTTGTTATTGATTTCATCATTATTACTATATTTAATTATAATTAAAATTATATAATAATTAATAATGATTTATTTTTGTATTACTACTATATATTAATACTACTATCAATATGTATAAAACATTCATTAATTTTTTCTTTTCAAAAAAATATATATCTGTGTATCTTGATCAACAAATCAATTTTCGCCATGTTTGTTAAATGGACATATTAATATGATCTGCAATATGTATTTTCTTTCCCGTTTCTGGCGAATTGCGAATTAAAAATATAAACAAGCAAGTAACTATAATGAATGATACTAGGAAAAAGAGAAGAGATATGCAAAGATGTTAATGTTATTCATTAATATAGTATCTATTTTTTTCTTTTTTTTCAATTGAGAATAAAGATGAATAGTAATGAGTGTTTGATGTTTATATAAATGACTATTAATTAATTACATCAAATTGTTGCAAGGGCTTTCTCAAAAGATGGTGGTATATAGTAAGTTGCTTTAAAACTATTGTTACTAGATCAAATATTTTATATGTTTGTTGCTTTATGAATTATTATTTATTAGGTAAATAAATTAAAAATATGGTTGTTCCCTGTGCGATTCCCTACAAGGGGAACGAAAATTTTTTGGAATATGTTAAAAGAGTCAACCTGGTTGAAAGGAGAGAAAATGGATATGAAAATTATAAAAATCGTTTATACAATAATTTTGCTTTTATTGATTAATAATGTTATAAATAATAAAAATAATAATAAAATAATAATAATAGTAAAATAAAAAAAGTTCTTAATAAAAATTTTGCTATTGTTGTAATTTTTGATTCGATTTAAATTGATGAATTGATCAACATCTGACAAAATGTCGAATTTATCTGTTAGGACAATGTTATATCGAGTTGATAATTCTATATTTTTTGCATTTAAAGTATAATTGTCCTTGGAAGGTCCAATTATAACACCGATAGTACTGGGGTGGTACCTGGTCAACAATCCAATCATCCTATTCACATAACGCTCCCCTTATAATAAAAAACTTTTAGTTTAATTATAACAACAGTCAGATAAAAATAATAATAAAAAAATAAAATAATTTACCAATCACCGCCTCATTTCTACAACTTATCAAAACAACTCTACCTCTAAATCCCCCAACAAAGTCTAAACCTTCATCATCAGGTACCACCCTATAAATTGTAAATAAATTAAATTAAGAAAAAATAGTCAAGAACAGAGTCGGACGTTCACAGCAGGCCGTCCACCATACATTGGGCCTGGTAACGTTCAACAAACACTATGAGAAAATTACTCACCTCACTCTAGAAAAATTCACACTTTCCCCAAAGAACACCTCTCTCACTTCCTTCTCCAAAGTATTTTCTTCAACAAAAGACATTATTAGTATTTATTATTAAAAAAAAAAAGTGTAAGAATTTTATGATTTTAAAATTTATTGGACGTTTCACCAACATTTTTTAATTAATATATAAGATTTTGTAATTTTCACCATTAATTATTTAAAAAAACAAAAATTTCAATTATATTTTAATGATTCCAAATAATCAACACCTTTGTTATGTATTGCATTGCAAGATAGTAACGGTATCCTTTACTAGAATTATTATATAATACGGAATTATTTAATATTTGTTGTGTTGTAAACATAGCTAACTACTTTTTACATTTAGAACATTGCAATATTCAAAGGTTGGTTTAATATATAATTCCCTAAAAGATGATGAAATACTTGAAAGAAAGGACGATAAATTATTATCAAGGTTCAAATAAATAATTCAAAATATTTACATTAAAGAAGACAAGAAGACAAGAAGACAAGAAGACAAGAAGACAAGAAGATAATAAGCGGTGTACAATGAATTCTACCAAATTAAATATAATAATAATAATAATATTAGTGGCACTGGTGATAATAATAATAATATTAGTGGCACTGGTGATAATAATAATACTCGCGACGACGATGACGATGACAAAGGTCATGACAATAATCTTGAATTCACTAGAGTTAAAAATATGACTTTCAAATAATGAATTTCAGATAGATAACTTTTCAAACATACA